GAAAGAAGTGTAACAATTGATAAAAGATTCGTGTTAATCACAAAAGCATTGTTATAAATGAGAGACAAAAGTCTCGATATTTAGCAAAATTTTAGATTGCTTTATTTGATATAGAAAGAGCAAGCAGCGTGCTGGGGAATGCAAGGGGTCACCGCCCACTCCACGCTCCACTCAACCTTGGTTTGCAGCCTCTTCTTATACTGTGGGTTCTCGTTGTTCACAAATTCACAAAGCCTTTGGGTGATAATCAGTCACAGATTGCCATCCGGTCCTTGTAGATGACCACCAGGGAAGTTCTGGAGGTCTGGTCTTTGTAGACAACCACCAGAGAAGTTCCGGGAGTCTGGTTTTTGGGATAGGCAGTATTGATTAGACAAAGGCAGGAAGGGCTATTGGGAAGTCCGATTTTGCAAGCTGGTAGCCGATACAACTTATTTGAAAAACATATAACATAACATAACATAACATAACATAACATAATGTAATGTAACATAATACAACATAATATAACATAACAAGGTGATTTTAAACAGAATTATTTAATCATATAATTTCCTTTATCTAGTGTCCATGCTTCACTTCAGAGCTTAGTATTCTGGTTTATGCAAACCCCAATGCTTTTGTAATTAACACGAATCTTTTACCAATTGTCACAGCATTAGGGTTTGCATAAACCAGAATACTAAGCTCTGAAGTGAAGCATGGACACTAGTAAGAGCGGTGTTTGGTTTCTTTCTGTTTTTTTTTTTTTTTTTCCAAAAACATAACAGGTTTTCACCAGACAACAAAAAACCACCAGTTTAACAACAACAACAAAAAAATAAAATTGTAGTTAATAGCAAAGTTAACCTAGTTGAAAACAATATCTTAAAATCGAGTTATCTTAAATTTAGCCGATAACAAAGTGCTTTGGTGAGAACATTGTCTCTGTTGCAGGGAGGATAAGGGAAGTCCCACGGAGATTTGGGGACCCTGGCTGCTGTGGGAAGCAAACACAGCCAGTTCTTCTCTAGGTCCTGCTCAGTCATGTGCTGTGTGTGCTCACACATGGCTCCAGGTAGCCCTTCCTGGGGCATGCAGGGACAGGACAAGGGGACAAGAGCCTGCCTGGCTCTCCCTGGGAGCAGGAACATCCCAGAGGGGCTGAGGCTGCAGGAGGGGAGCCTCTGGGATCCCCGTCCTGAGAAGGAGCTATCCTGTCTCACTGAGTCCCATCAGCTTGACTGGGAGAAGCCGAGGAAAGTCCGTTGGGTCCATGCACTGGAAGAAGTGGAGCCGGAGAAATCTGTGCACGGCCACCTCAGTGGCTGAATATTATTTGGGTCTTGGGGAGGTGTTTCTCTGTGAGCACAGGGAGCACCTGAGGCTGGTCCCTCTGCTTGTGCTCGTGGGATATCTGGTGGACACTTGAGCTTCCCTTGGTTCACCCCACAGCAATGTGTGACACCAGCCCAGCTCAGGTCACAGCCTCCCCTTTCCCTGGGGAAGTCCCTGACTTCAGGTTTGTTTACTTCAGCTTCAAGGCCATGTGTTTGACTTGCCCAAGAATCTGGCAGTTCTGTCCCAACCATGAAGAGCAGGGAAGGCAGTGCTGTCTGAGCTTTACAGCTTGGAAACACACTGCCCTGTGCCCCCTGGGGCTGATAGGAGAGGCTGGGATTTCAGCTCACATCTTTTGGGGCAGAGCATGTGTTATGAATGATGTTCTATTTTTCCAATTTATCAAGCAACAAGATTAAATTTAATAGTAAGTTTTTAATAGTAACAAAATGAATACAATCAAAGTTTTGGAGATTACAATTAAAGTATTGGAGATGAAACAAAGTGCATATATTTAAGAATATACAAAATTTGGCAGTAATTTAGTATAATTGAGGTT